TCACCGGCCGCCGCATCAGTGAAGTGGCAGCAAAATACTTGAATTGCGCTTCAATTTCACACACAAGTGGCGACGACGCCGACAATATCGAACAGACAACCAAAATTAGAGCTAAGCTGCTGTTGCTGCGACTGCCGCGACTGCCACGTTGTTGTTGGCCACATTTCCCAGCACTCGATCTGGGGCCCACTGGACACGACTCCACTGCCATGGGTTGGGCTATGATTGTAACTGTAACTGCGACTGGGCGGCTCTGTATCTGTATCTGTGTATCTTGCCTGCATCTGCAACTATGTACAAGTATATAGGTATGTTCGATATGTTTGTGGCTGGCATAGCGAAGCGAACTCGTGCAGCAATGCGCATTGATAGTGAAATGTTTAGCAAACAAATAATACGAATGCGAACAACTGATTTGCATGCTGTCCGAATTCATCAATCAAGCTCAAAGATGTTACCACATGGGCGGGAAGCTGCGAAACGAAATGAGGAAATTATAAATATTCAATAATTGATTCATAAGTAGATACAAGTATATTGCCCCTCAAGACTCTCCAACTCGTATGAATGGAAAAGGACAGCAGGCAGGCTGAGAGATCAGCAATGAAAGAAGCGATTGATTGAACTTCTCTGTCAGGACTCTATCAACTACTCGTATGAACGGATAAGGACAGCAGGCAGGCTGAGAGATCAGCAATAAAAGAAGCGATTGATTGACCTTCTCTGTCAGGACTCTATCAACTACACGTATGAACGGATAAGGACAGCAGGCAGGCTGAGAGATCAGCAATAAAAGAAGCGATTGATTGACCTTCTCTGTCAGGACTCTATCAACTACACGTATGAACGGATAAGGACAGCAGGCAGGCTGAGAGATCAGCAATGAAAGAAGCGATTGATTGAACTTCTCTGTCAGGACTCTATCAACTACTCGTATGAACGGATAAGGACAGCAGGCAGGCTGAGAGATCAGCAATAAAAGAAGCGATTGATTGACCTTCTCTGTCAGGACTCTATCAACTACACGTATGAACGGATAAGGACAGCAGGCAGGCTGAGAGATCAGCAATGAAAGAAGCGATTGAATGACCTTCTCTGTCAGGACTCTATTAACCACAAATTTGGACAGCAAGCCCCCTGTTTTGGAAGGATTTTCCTTTACTCACAATGGATATGGATTGATTAATGTTGACTATCTTGAGGTATCTAAGCAATACCCTTTTGGTCCCAATTAGATATTTTATTTTTTATTAATTCCACAAATTGTGCTGTCGATACAGATTACTTTAAGATGTTTTAGCAACAAAGATATAGAATAATATTATGTTATAATTTCAACTTTAAAACAAACGATAGCCTCAAAAATAACTATAAGATAATGTCTATAAATGCCTCCGACACGTTGGGGGAATTTTATTTGGCATTTTGCAAGCTATGCCCCGATTCAAAGCCATATGTGATCAGAGACATTATAGACATAACAAGCTAAAAAAATATTAGAGTAATACTACTTAAGAGCTTGTCAGATGAAGGAGCAGAAAGAGAAAAGGCAAAGTCTCCAACCCGGTGGGAAGACAATTTGATTGCCAGTCCCGACTCACAGCACTACGTAATTAGAGGTTATCCCGGAGATAAGTATAAGGACAGCTTTTATAGATTATACTTATAATTATAATTAGAACAAAACAGCGTAATCAGTTGTGCATCTGGACAAGATAAATTGAATATAATTTCTTGTTGATCTACAAGGAATTGAAAAATTGTGGAGAAAAACTACTCCAACTAATGAACATAAAGTTAAAAGTACACAACCTACACTAATACATTTACTTTCAGTAGACAACACTTATGTACTCATTATAATAATAATAATAAGATCATTAAAAAAAACTTTAAATTTATGTACAAATAAAATGTATCTTATGCTTTGTGACTGTGCATTAATTTATAAGAAATTTTCTTGTCGCACTAGGAAGTAATAAACAAATAAATAAATAAATAGATCAGTCCTACGAAATGTTAATGAAGGAAGGTTTATAAGCCACAGTCTGCTTTAAAACATATTAAAATTTTAGGTAAAAAAGTTAAGTTATATATGAAAATTTAGATAAAAATAATTAATATGTGTACATATTGATTTTAATGTGTCAACACCTATACATACATTCATACACACTCGTATCTTAAAATATATATGTAAGTATAGACATTTTTCAGCTCCTAAACCACTAGGCCGTACAAAGTCTTCTTTTTTTTTTTTGAGTGTACTACATCTCTTCGGTTACGAGGTCTTTCAGGCAGGTTGAAAATTATAAACATTAGGAAACTGTTGCAGAAAGTTGAACAAAAGCCTGCTTTTTGTTTGTTTCGATATCGGAATTATGAAATTACTCGTCTTTTTATTGATTTCAAATATTTGAATGGGGCCTGGCATAGAATAACTAAAAAGGTCAAACGGTCGTGTTATGGCCAAATCTGCAGGCCGCATAATAATAACACAAAATTAAAAATTTAAGAAAATTACAAAAAATATATAGTATATATAGATACTGATGTGGCAAAAATTTAAATTGTTTTGTGAATTAAAAAATAAATAAATAAATTAAAAATATTCGCCTTGACTCACTGATTAAGGATATATATAAATTTTGTCCTTAATCCTTATGAAACAGACAAAATTTCAGCTTGAAAAGAATAATCATTATTTTACAAGTTTTATTTTTTTTGCTTATCAATAATGATTATTGGTTAAGTTTTAAAGTAAAACTCAAAATTAATCATTAAATTGTGAGCGAATTAAAAAAATTAAAAAAGAATCATTATTTTGTAATTTTTATAATAACACTTTTAATGATTACAGTCCCTGATATATACACCTAATTCTGGTTTTAAACTGTAGATTGGTTCCTTAAAAAAGTCGTGCAAAATAAATCGTGCTAAATGGAATAAAGTCGTGCAACCATATATAGAATTTTTAATTTTCAAACCGTTTAAAAACAGAATTAGGTGTACATATATTTGAATATTACATTTCTATTTGAACTGCCAAAATTTGTTTACCATTATGATTATTCTGTTAAAACGTATTAACAATCTCAAAAGAAAACCAAATAAATGGAAAGTGCAAAATAAATATATATAGTACCAATGTGTGTATGTATATACAAGTATATAAGTGGGAAACTGTTTGGCTTCTCTTTTTCTTTTAGTTTCGAATAAACAGCTCACGTACTATGGGTGTACGAGCATTTGAAATAAATCTTTGAACTCAATTATGAATGTAGAATGCATCTGGCTTTGAGTCACGCCCGCTGCCATACTACATAGTATGTACTATACGAGTACTATACTATATATAATGATGATGATGATTGTACTATATATTGTGAAATATATTTATGTGCATGGATATGAAGTGTGGTTGTGTGGATGTGTGGATTGTGGCTGTGTACTCCAAATATTTATACAATTTTCACGCTATTTTCTAGCCAACTATTTGGGTCACTCTCACAATTTATTAGTTTACTTTTCATTACATTGACACCTTTAACATCGCGTGGCAGTCGTTTGTCATGTACACGATGGCGGCCAAAGTGTTGTCAATGCGGCAGCAACACTCTTGCTGTTGTTGTAGTTGTTCTTGGTGCTGCTGCTGCTGTGTCTGTTGTTGTTGTTGTTGTTGAAGAAGCAGCAACAACCAGCAACCAGCAACAAGTCGTACTTGCAGTCACAATCATCTTTGGGCGCAACAACTAACCAACCAACCAACCAAGCAGCCAAGGCAGGGGGCAGGGGGCAGCATCATTAGCTGCTTAAAAGGTTGCAACAACTGCTAAACTGTAAACGGCTGCTGCCTCAAACAACAACAGCAACAGCAGTTGCAGCAACCAGGACCGCCACAATTCCACCAAGCGCCTCCACAGTTGAAAATATTAGAAAATGTTTATTAAACAAAAAATAAATTTAAGATTTCTGATGATGCAACGCATGATTGAAGGCTTTTAATCTGCTTCAATGGCAATATTAATTGTCGGCTATAATTGTTTTATTTCATTATTTTATTTATAAGCATTTCAATTATATTAATTATATTACTATTAAAATATCAGGTGCATCAGCGAAATTGGCTCTAATTTCTTCATCATCAATCATTAAGCAGTTCTAGTCGCTCATCTTCTCTTCTTGCACTGCTGGTGAAGGTTCTTCGAAAAGTCAACCCTGAAATGATTGAGGCTCTCCAAATGAGTTGCCAAGTCGAGATTTTTCTCTTTTCGAGAGTTTATATTGCTAATGAATTGGGATTACTGTTTTGAAAATGTTGGTATATAATCGCTTCTACGTGAAGGAAGGGTATTTATAATATAGTTTTATTCGAAATCTAAAGAAATTACTAGAAAGCAAATCTCTTCGACTTCAATCAAAATATAGTATGTTTTGAATAAGTGAAAAGAAATCAAGCACATCGCTCTTGTTCCTCATTACAGGTATATAGTAAAATGAATACAAGTATGAAGTCTACTTTAATTTCCATTCCCAATGGGTGGATAATACTTAAACTTGGCAGTCCTTTCCATTTGGCACGGATGGATATTATAGGAACTTGCGAGCCCTTAACAAAACCTTTTCACAACCTAGCAGTAAAGAAAGGAAAATCGTGAGATGGAAGAATTTCAGCGCCCCAGGCATGCGGCGCCCGAGGCGACTGTCTCGTTCGCCTCGCCCTTATGACGGCACTGCTGCTGGCCAGCAACGGTATTTCTGTGACTGTGATATTTATTATTGTTGTTGTTGTATGTGTAGGACCTTGGGAAAAGTTGTAAATGCACGAGAAGAGCAGAGCCAGTTGCAGTGGCATCGGCATCGGCAGCAGCAGGAGAGAGTGAGGCAAAGAATTGGGTTAAAGCCATTGCCACTGCAATTGTTATTATTGTTATTAACTTTTGCTCGTTTCGCTTTTATTTGTTAGCAGATCAGATATTTGGCCAAAAGTGCCAACTCACGCTCACGGGACTCCACACTCTGGACGCTGGACGCTTCGTGCTGGACAAGCGTTGACAGTTGAAAACATTTTCCACCTGACGACGTGAGTTGACATCTGTTGCGATGAGGCTTAAAGAAAGATCTCTTGTATGCTTCATCGAGTGTGCATTTGTGTGTGTGCGAGGGGAACTTGACAAGTTTGCAGACAATGTTATTGAAAGTGCACTAACTTCGCTGCAGATGTGTTGTTTTAATACCTTTTCTCTCAAATAACAGAAAACATAATCAAAACACATCACATATCAAAAATTCTGTTTTACAGCGATCTGCACAAGCATTGCGTCGATCTGGTCAACCTTTATCCTTTAAGATTTCTATCATTAATATATGCCTTAAGAATAAGGCTCAAAGCATCTCTATCTTTGTCCACTTCCCTCCAATTGTTCACATTCAGATCATGTTTTATAAATAACGACAATCGGGTGGATCTAGTCCTACCCAGAATGATTTCTTAAATAATATTAGCGACTATATTCCAAAGAACATTACTTAAGAACATCTTAATAAATGATTTATATCTTCACTCATCTCCATGTTCTGCCACTTTCTTTTCGTTTTTTATATTCAGAGTGAAGTAACCTTTCACAACGTCTATTCATAAGGAATCTTAACTGATATAGTTTGTTCCATATTTTCATTATATCTATTATGTAAAATATACTTTTAGCTGATACTCTGTTCGATTATGAGAGATGTTTTGTTCAGAAATTTGGATATGAATTGTGTCTAAAGGAGATGTTCTTTTGAAATGTTTCCCAGTACGATTAATTTAACTTTTTATCTGCACTATGCTAATATTTTATTGGAACAGATCAACTATACAGTTATAGCTTATTGTTCTTCTTCTTATTATTATTATAAATAGTTAAATGAAAAAATATTTATATAATATATTTATATAATTTATATATTTATATAAAGCTGGGAAACTATCAATAGCTCTATCGAAATCGTTATCATTAGCTAAACCGATTCGGCGAGCACTGGGGTTACATTTTGAAAGCTCAATAGATATGTGAAATAGGAGTTAATTGTAGACCATAATGATAAAGATAATACAAAATGGATACAAACAAATTTAGATACGTGTATAACGAAAAAAAGTGGTGCAACATACAAGATAACATAATACGTGTTATGTATTCCGGCAATAATAACAGTAGGTGCAACTAATATATTTACAGCTTGCTCAAAAACAATTTTTTATTTTTAAAATAAAGAAAACTAGTTTGCTCATACCATTGTCTTCAACTATTGAGTGCTAATACTTCCGGTAGTATTAAAGCTTTAATAATAATAATTTTCTTCTTCTTCAACTATTCTCAATATTACCTTCTCTTCTTTTCTTCTTCATCTTCATAATGTATGTACGAGTATGTAATTTTAATGATTATTATTATTATATATTAACATATCTATCAATTATTAACGGTTGTATATAATATGAGTTCTGATTACTATTATTTCAAACGGTTTAATATTCTGTTTTTTCAAATATACTTACCTAGAACTCATTTTCTGCTTTCGTTTTAGGCGTTTATTGAAAGTTAATTTTCCAAAATGATTTTCTTCAAGTGTAATTATTAGTATATACTAGTGTGTTTGAGTGTTGGAGTCCAAAAGCCGTTGCTGGCCAAGCTGAGACTTGACGTAGAAAGCGACCGAGCCGCTTTGGCTGCTGCTGCTGCTGCTCCTTAGAATTTCTTCGGAGCAACTGTGGCCAAACAAATTAGCAAAGTCATGCCAAATTATTTTACAGCTCATAAATCACACACACACCGACACATGGACACATGAAAACACCCAGACAAACAGACGACAGACAGATAGAGAGACAGACAGACACACAAACATACCTAGATGATTGAGGCCCGCAGACAGATAGACGCGCCCATTTGCTTGGCCGGCACTTGTTATTCGGCTGACTGGCTGACTGGCTGGCTGGCTAGCTAGCTGGCTGGCCCGATCAGTTTCACTTTTTTGGCCGAGACGCGGAGCCAAGTAATACCAAAAATTGAACATTGAAAGTCAATTAGCCGGTGCGAGGCGCAAAGATTCTACACCTTACCGCTTCGATTCAATTGTAGGCGAAAATTTATCAATTATTTCTGTTGTCGCTGTGGGCCACGCTTTGTTTTTTTTTCTTGTCAGAAATTTCTCAATTTCTCGTTTCGATGTTCGATTTGGGCTTTCAATTGAGGCATTTGCCTGTGGGCCGTTTTATGTTTTCTGTGAAATTAGCCCAATACCTGCACATTGTTGCTTTAACTTTAACTTTAACTTTGGCTTTTGCTGTTGATGTTGCTTTTGCTTTCATTCTCACAAAAATCTTCAGAAATTCCAATGCAACATACATACCTACTGGCAAGTGAATGGCACTGTGGGCCCAAAAGATTTGACTAGTTGGCAAAAAATTATGATTTTATATTTTCCTTTTCGATTGTTATGATCAATTTAAAATGTCTTCAGCTCTGAATCAGGGAAAATATTTGCAACCTACACCATATTATAAATTCGAAATGATCCTTGAAGTTCCCATATTGACCTCAAAATTGAATCCAGTCCCGTTTCAAAAAAAGGTGGGGAATCCCTGAACAATGGAAACACAGGCGTTTCCTTTAAAACATTCACCTTTTATAAGGCAATCAGAAGGGGGCCTTCGGATCCAATGAACATTTTTCCAATTCCTAAATGACTTGCCTGGTCAAATTTATTTATTTATTTGTTGTTTCCGGAATTAAATTACAGGCTAGATTTAACTAGGCAGGCTAGCCATACACGACTCCGGCGAAGAGACCTCCCCACCCAGCAATAACAGTTATTGCCGTAATTTAAATATTTAATTGTAGTTAATTAATAACCCTTGGATATGGTGGAATTATTTAGTAGTCCACTTGTCTGTGAAGTGGAAATTGATAAGCGGCTTGCCGTATTGATGGTTTTCAATAAACTTCAGCTGCATATCGATAAGACAAGACTATATACCAAGAATCGTGTCGCTAGTTAGCATAGTACAATAGTTCTCGATGTTCATACAGACAGACGGGCATGTCTATATCAATTTTTCATGCATAGTTTTTAATGTTCATTTCAGGGTTCAATGCTTCAGAGTGTTTTTGCAGCGATTAAACAAACTTTTTACTTTAATCTTGTAAATGCATGTAGTATTTTAGTTAAGTTTAAGTTTAGTTCTAGACAAAAATATTTTGACCCCTTCAGCTTGTAAGTTGCTCCATGGTGTGTGTGTGTGTGTGTGTTGAATGAACGTTGTGGCTTTTGCTTTCATTCCCGGCAAATGAAGTTGCCCTCTCCAGCAACTTCATTGCAACGCGCATTAAACGCCGGTTCCTCATCAGTCTGCCCTCTTACCAGTAACACCCACTTTCGAATTGAAACCGAACGGAACGAGCCATGCAAAAAAAAAAAAAAAAACTACAACAACAACAACACTCATTCACGCAACTGTTGCAACAAAGTACGAGTAACATAATGAAGAGCTATAATCATAAAAAGAAATATCGAAGCACTCGATGTGTGGCGCATGCGCAAACAAACAAACGAACAAAAACAACTACGATAAAGAAAAACGGAACTAACTGATGTGATGAATGGATGGATGGATGGATGGATTAATGGATGGGCCCAGACGGAGCATCACAAACCGCTGCCCATGATGCTGAATGAGTTGGAATTTTTTTTAGATGCACGTGTGTGACTTCGCATAAGTTTTGCAATGCCAAGAGCCCGTTTCACTTTTCTGGACCCCCAGCCCCCACCTCCCAGCTCGTGTGCGCCTTGGCCCTGTCCGTCTATCTGTCTGTCTGTCCGTCTGTCCGTCTGTCTGTCTGTCTGTCCGTCTGTCTGTCTGTCTGTCTGTCCGTCTGTCTGTCTGTCCGTCTGTCTGTCTGTCTGTCTGTCTGGCAGGCACTAAAACGCTCACGTCACAGCCCAAATGCCGCTCCCCCTTCCCAAAAATCAATCAATCAATCAATGTTCATGAATGTTGACAAAAGTCTGTGAAACTCGCGACAGGCAAATGCAAAATTTGATTCGTATTTAAATGCCGAAAACTATGGAAAATGTTGAAAGTCAAATGAAAATTGGATATCGCCAAAGCTATTCATAACAATATTGAATTGATTAAGAGTTGAGTTGGAACGGTTTGAAAACGTTTGACTTATTACATATTGTTTATTATTTCTTTTATAGCTTGTAATAATTGTACCCTGTACTCAAAATGTGAAAGGGTATACGAGAAAGTAAGAGAAGAAAGCGGCGGGAGGAGGTCCAGCAAACCCCATAAGAAGACGAGTTGAAACAGCAATGATTTTTTATCACCTTTTATATAGAATGAATCCTCATGGAATTGCAGTGCCAGCGAAATTATACAATATCTTTTGTTCAGATAACAGATCCTATATGCTTTTTATTATACCCTGGGTCCGTAGCGGTACATCTCCGACCCTATAAACCATATATATATATTCTTGATTAGCATGACGAGAGCAATCGATCTAGACATGTCCGTCCGTCTGGATGAACGCCTGCATTTCGGAAACGGTTGAGCGAGTTTCTTTTTTTATTATTTTTATTTTCTCCCCCAAGGGCGTAGCCAGCTTTTACCAAAGGGGGGGCCCAAAAATTAAAATTTTGATTAAATAATGCCCGATGCATTTAAAAAATAATTTATGCATATGATCGATGAAAAAACTTCAACAAATCCAACGCAGATCCATCTTAAGGCGAAATAGTGCGTCATAATAATGAACGTGTGGTCGACTTTATTGGAAAAATTTTTTCTAGGGGGGGCAACGGTCCCCCCCTGCCCCCCCCTGCGTACGCCCTTGTTCTCCCCCTCTCCGCGCCTCACAATTTTCTCAATACTTTGTACACGTAATCTATATGCAATTACATATCTACTTTTATTTCCAATTTCATACAAATCGAAAAGTTATCAGTGTACAAATTTCACTCCAGCACTACGCCAACAAACTTCTTCTTATTTTAGCTCCTGATATGAGTAGAAGCGGAAGATTGTCTGGGTACAAGGTATTTCACTTTCAGGCTTGCTCGATTGCAATGTTCTCTCTTGTTATAAGTTAGCAACAAGATTCTATTGTAACTTTATTTCCATAAGCCACATTAAAAAACTACTTGTGGAATAAATAAAACAAATAAAATTAAACTTTTTAAAATAGTTGGCTAAAGTATGGATGGGACCATCCTGCAGAGGGGTAATTCTGCTCTGGCTCTCTTGCAAACTGCCACAGAGATAAGCACTTAGTCAAAACTCATAAATAAAACCCTTTTTTTTGTCAATATAAAAAGTTATTATCCAAATTTATTTATGTTTTTATTAGTCTACATTTGAAGTTTTCTGTCTCTAGCTGTTCTAGATAAAGAGTTCTCGGTGTTCATACGAGCAGACAGGCGCACGGATGGACGTTCGTATTGACAGACATGTCTATATCGCGGTGTTGTTCTTGTCCACGTCCTGCTGATCATATTGTATATAGAACATGATAGGTATAACATGGGGCTTAACAAGCCATAACATATTTGTGGCGCATATTTCGTCACATTTCGAAACTAGGGGTTGGCGCTGGTCTGCTGATGTTTGGCGGCGGAGGCAGTTTCAGGTCAATCCTAACGTAGTAAATAGCTGATAGTGAGAAAGCATCGCCCAGATGAAATTCCTGAGATTTGTTGGTGAAATTCAAATAATTTTCAAATTTAATTACAGAGGCAAATAAACGCTTGACATTCCGCGCATGCGCGCCGCCTTGTCACATTTCTGACTGACGCTGAAGCCGATGCTAAAGCTGTGACAGAAATGCTGGCTGGATCTGAAGCTGGGAGTGGGGATTGAGACTCTCAGAGGCTGTGGCATATGTTTCTGTTATTGTTGGTATTGTTGTTTTTGCTGGTTTTGTTTTCGCTTTCGGGCGGGGCGCGCGCGCGCGCATTTCAAATATTTAAGCGCGCACTAACTGCGTCGCATGACGCGTATTTTTTCCATCTGTCTGTCTTTCTTTATTTAATTTCCTAAATTGCTGACTTACCTTTTAAGACACTTGCGGTTGCTGCGTGCGTAGCAGTAGTAATAGTAGTTATTGTGCTTATTGTTGTTGTTAAGCGCTTTATTGTTCATTGAGAAATCGACCAACACCTCTAGGCTGGCCAATGATTTCGGCATTTGGGCGTTTAGTGACAAATGCCTGAGACACACACTCTGACTGGAAAGCAGCACCAAAAGGTGCAGCCTACACGACTGGATCTGGGGGGAGGAGGGGCAGTTAGAAAGAAGCCACAACTTGGCAAGTGTGTGTTGCCAGAGTCTTGAGTTGACATTTGTGTGTTTCCATGTCAGACGCGTGCACGAAAACCTTAAACACTCAAACACTGAGGCAGTGCCAACCAATCCATCCATCCATCCATCCGTCCATCAAAGAGTTAAAAATTTGTGAGTGCCGGCTAACGTTTCGGTTTCAACCAAACAACTAGAGGAATATGGGTTAGCAGGTCTACACCAACAGCTGCCTGAACTTAAACATACATCCTTTCAATCACTCAAGCACTGAAATACTGAAGCGCTCGACAGCGCAGGCGTGGCGCCACGATTTCCAAACAGTCCGCATTTTCAAGCTGAAGACTGTTTTCTACATTTTCGAGATATAGTACTTATAAGTATTACCCTCGGTTAGACATTTTACGGACAATATCACAGATGTTTTTATTTTCATTGAAAATTATTTTTAAATGGAAGGTTATATTTATTTTTGTCCGTATCTAAGACAATCCCTAGACAATAGGAAGGCATTCGAGTCGTCTTAAGTAACATAATATCTTTCAAGGAAAGTTTTCAGCTTTTGCTGAAACCCGTTTTCTAATATTTCATAATATCTTCTTTGAAAAAAAAAAAAACTAAGTCCTAAATGAATCCAAATTGTATCAGCCTTATACGAATCTTTGTACAAACATAGTCCAACAGCAAAGTGCTTCAAGTCCTTTTCTTATAGGTATTCCTTGTCTTTAGATGTCTGTAGACCTTTAAAAAGTCCATTGTATTTTATTCTGATTTTGATGGAACTGAATTCGTTGAGTTGAAATTGTTTTTGGACTCAGAAAACATAGCCAGGCTTTCGTTTTGAAATAATCTTTAAAAAACGATGAAGCATGACAGAGGAAAGGTGGAAGAGATCTGTATATATAATATAATAGTATTTTGAGCACAGAAATCGAAAGGGATCATGTGCTACACAGTGATAGGCAAAGCGATCAAAAATGTCAGAAAAGTGTAGATTACTAAAAAAAAAAACGATCAGCCGGAGAGCTAAGAACACCTTCATTTATAATATTTAGAGGTCTGTTTTTAACATTTTAACAAATCACACATTAATAGTATTTCATTTTTTGGTTTGAAAAAATATATTTGTATATTTCGTTTCTTCAAAAGTTGAGGCGGATTTCGGATTAAAAACTTTTTCTTCTTCTTTATTTGATAACTTGAAAAAAAAAACAAACTGCTTTTGATGCCTCGCATTTGTTTGATGGCTCTGCTCATAGAAGCCGGAACTGGGCCTGTGTTGGCAGTTGGCCAGCGTCTTCGTCTTCGTTGTTGTCTTCATCATCTCCATCATCTCGTTCATCATCATCATCATCATCATCGTCTGCTATCGTGGTCATGGTCGTCGACGATGCGTCGAAAGTTGCACCGTTTTTGGGCACGCCAAGTGGCCAAGTGGCCAAGCGGCCAAGCGGCTGACCAAACCAGACGCCGCATCAGCAGCATCAGCAACAGCAGCCTCCCAAACGAAGGCGGAAGAAGAAGGAAAGCAAGTGCGGGTCTACTGTCCAGCGTCTTCCGTCCGCCGTCTGCCTCGGACGTCTGTGTCTGGGACTGAGACCGAGACTGAGACTGGGACTGGCTTCTCTTAGGATGTCGCCGCTGGCTGCGTGAAAATGCCGCCCAACGAGTTTCGCACTAAAGAGAAAGTGTCCATGTTGGTGTTCTGGCAATCGTAAAGAATACATTTTCTGGCTATTAAAATGTTTCCTCTTGTCTGCATACCACAGGTGAATATTTTTTTGTTTTCGGTTTTTATCTTTTTGCCCGCTTGCCGGCCAAATGGCTCGCTGGGCACACAACATTTCAACTGAAAAGTTGTCGATTCTTCTGCTACGCCTTCCTGCTCCTTCCATCCGTTTCTCCTCCTCCTCCTTCTCCTCTTCCTCATCCCCATCCCCATCCTCTTCCTTCTGCCGCAGCCGTGGCCGCTGCTGCTGCGAGAAAGTTGTACTGCGTAGTTCTTGGATATTGGATTGAATGCCATGATGCCGAGCGAGAGGCCCGCGTTGATGTTGACGTTGACATTGCTGTTGATTTTGATTTTGCTTAAATTTTTTTTTTTTTGGCAGGCAAGTAGCGTTGAGTTCGCAAGCCACAGAACACAAATTGCCATTTCTAAAAATAAAAATACAACATAATGTTGTATCTGGTGGGCATTCTGGGTGCAAAGGTGGGGGGCCCACACTCCACTGCATTCGCATTCAAGACTATCTATATATACTCGTATATATGTACATATATATATGTATAATAGTGATAATAGGAAAACTTGAAACCGAACCAATAAATTTTCTTTCCCACCATACGCTTTTGCCTAACAATATCAAACTTCTGAACTGAAATATGTTCTTCGTATTTAAAGAAAACGTTTTTTTTTTTTCTGATATTTTTAATATTGCTTTTTAAAAATAATGAAACATTTCAGTTCTAGAAAATGTTTGGAAAGTTTACAAAAACATAGAAAACCATTTAAATTTATTTCAAATTTTTTTTTAGTTTGTTCCTAAGTGACTCGAACCGAGCTCAGGAAGCAGAAATCAAATTCAAAGTTTTCATGAAATTAAATAATTTTACAACCTATGGCAGATCTTAAATAAAGACTAAAGAGTTACAAAAAAATGTGCTGGAAATAACTTCGCCCATTCAATGAAATTGAAACACGATTACAAATAAATACAGCATACTTATAGGGTTCGCTTTTCGATTTGCCTACAAATGTTTACAAATCCACTTAGAAAACCAAAGAGAATCAATGAATCATATGAAAAATGAGTGAAGAGAGCCAAGTTTGCGCATAATTGAAAGTTTTATACCAATTTAATAATTAAAAAAGAATTATGTGATTGAAGATATATTTTCACTTTTTTAAAGTGAGATAAGATTTCATTTGAACATTCTTAGCCAGATCTACTAGATCTACTATTCAAGATTAAATGTACAATCATGTTTTTTTAAATAGTTATGTATATAGCATTTCACATAAATAAATAAATAGTTGAGATAACAATTGAAAAGGGAATGTTCATTTATAGAAATAAATATATATTTAATCTCAACTTTATATTTTTATTTCATATTTTATTTATGGGCGACAAACATATTTGTTAAAAATTGTAATAGAAAACTGATGACACAAAAAGTCTTAAATAATTACAAAAATATTAAATATCGCATTGGACTCAATTGCTTTATCTGCAAAGTTGAAAATATATTTTTACTCTATTTTTAAGATAATCTTATAATCAGTTTTTTTTTTATCAAAAGGCCGTGACCTAAAATTAAAAGTAGATATAATTTATAGTTGAAAGCTTCTTTTCAGCTTCAGTTCAAATTCCTTTCCTCATCGATAAGCTTTAAACTGATTTGCTCACAAATTGTTGATTACCACGAGTATATATGCATATAGTATATCCACTGGTAAGTACTTAGAATGTTAATATTTAATCCCACTGGGGTGTGTGTGTGTGTGTGCGGATGCGGATGGAGATAAGAACAGAACTTGTTGTATGCCAAATGAAATGAAATGAAAGAGAATTACATATTTTATATGTATATACTACTAATGTACATATATTTATACAGAAATATGCGTCTTATCCGCAAAATGTTGTTGTTGCTGTTGCTGTTGTTGTCATCCGTTGGGCTGCTCTGTTTGCCGTCCATCCCATATATCGCATTCAGTGCCTCCGACAACGCGATGGCGTGCGCGTCTATGGATTTGCTTTTGTAAAAACAAAAAATCAAATTGCTGCATTTATTCTCTATCGTTAAATCGGTCTGTCGCTCTCTATTACACGATGACGTCATTGGCCAAGACTGCGCTTTGGTCGCTACTCGCATTGCTAATCGCATTGCCGAGCACCATTTCCTGGATGAAGTACAACAGCTATACGGCCAATAAGAAGCGCACAGATCTGCGACGACGCTGTCCAAAAGTACGTACTATATCTGTGGAGAGCGATTTTTGATTATATAGTACTTGTAGTTCGATTATATTATGATTCGGCGGCTGATCAATTTGTTTGTAAACATTAGTCTTGGAAATCCGCTAGCCTCCCAATAGATAATTTCTTGATATAAGTACGCAATTCTCTAGGACTTTCGATTATGAAGACTAATTGGAGGCACCTATATACACACATATATACATATGTACTACATATTCCATTCATTTCTTAACACCACCTGCCTGCACTGCTATTAGCACTGTTCAACCTATGATTACGTTTATATCTAAATAAAATTCCTTAATCGATTATCTGAACAGCCAAATTTTGAGAACGCTACAAATCTTTAAGAGAAAAAAGCAGATATAGAAAACAAAGCTAATGCCACATTTAAATGCAACTGTAAGAACTACAAAATCATTCACCAATAGGTCCGCGAAATACGCAACTTTGACTTGGAATCGATGATGGGTTTCTGGCATGTGGTCCAATATTATGCCTCCACCGAGGAGTTACCGGAATACGCGTGCATGCGCAGCATCTTCGGATGGAATGCCGAAGAGAAACACGTAAGGGACGACGAATACCGCGATCGCATTCTGCATTCTCTTTACTCTATGATTATAATCCATAGATAACCATGAACTTCACCTACATTTTTGCGGAAGATCCATTGCGGGAGAGCTTGCAGGGCAACATTACATGGAATATACCGAATTTTGAGTCTCCCGGCCATTGGATGCACACCGAGGACATTTGTGAGTATGATTTGTGGCGTGAATTAATAGTTCTAATCAGTTTTATTTATTAACACAGATGAGGGAATTTACAACACCTATGTGCTAGACACAGACTACAAGTCCTGGGGCCTAATCATGCATTGTGCCGAAAAGAAGAAACATCCACGGTATCTTTCTGCTCTATTGCTATCACGAGAACCCACCCTGGGCGACAATGTCATTAATTTCCTAAGGTGGGACGTTAATTTTACGCCAAAATGTATAGGGATAACAAATTTCGTTCATTCCAGAGAGAAACTTCCACGCTATGATATTGATTTATCCTTCATGTTTCCAATCAACCAAACCTCTTGTGAGTCCCGAACGGAGTCTAGCAGTAACGATCCGCTAGCATATATTCTGGAAGATCGTAAATATGCTAAAGATATGTTCAAAGTTATCAATCAGCCGTAATAAACAATAATACGAAATCATTGATATTTTAAATATCGCGCACAGCCTAGTTTTTCAATATTACCAATAGATGTACAGTTCAATCCCTCTAGCGGCACCAAGTCAAACTACCACCGCCTGTGGTTGCTCTGCAACCCTGTTCAGTGTTCATTACCAATACTATGTTTGCCCACCCGCTGCGAATGGCTAATTCGACAAAACGTGAAAAGTAAGAAGAAGCACCATTGAATTGTATAGCTGAAACTGCGTTCGAAAAAAAAGAGTTATCTTGTGTTTTGTTTTGCTTTAAGGCAATTTCTCTTGCCCCAAAAGAACAAACAACAATTGCGGGCTTAAATTGTGTTCAGCACATGAGGGAAAAGTTTTCGCGAGCTTAACATCCATTACCCAGATCAAAATCTCGCAAGAAGAAGCAGCAACATCAGCTATAATTGTAGCTCTCGTTTTTATTGTGTCCGCTTGGGGAGAAAATGGTGAAAAATGTGTGTGCGCAACGAAAACACATGTAGCTCGGTAAACTAACATATACATATATATACCAAAATAACAAAGATCGTTTGGTTTGTGCGTTAAATAATATTTATATGGTGGTTGTTACAGTCGTGTGTGTGTGTGTGCGAATAATAGCGAAAAATCAGTGCGTGCAACAAAATTGCGCCAATAAGCGAATACGAAGTTTTCGTTTATTTTTTTTTCTTTCGCTGCTGCATTCCTACTTGAACGCATACACATGCATGTTCAGGCATACATACACATATGCAGCACATGCATTCACGCAATAAGCGAATCACAACAACAAGAACAACAACAAACACTGCGTCGTCGTTGCTGTCGTCCTCAAATGTTTCTTCAGGTGATGCCTGAGCTGTCATCGTCCAGCCAACACCAACAATTCCCGCCATGGTCACGGCCAAAGCTGCCAACGGAATGAATATTCAATAAGAAAATAAAAACATTTAACGGCCTATCCAAGATCATGCAGCTTAAATATTGTTTTGTGAGAATGCAATTAATTTTGCATTGATGTTTTTGTGTTCCGATAAAAAAATTGGAAATGCACACAAACACATACAACAAACACACAGGTACGCACACACACGCATGCACGCCTCTCTTGTGCAATATTGTTTGCTCACTCGCACTCTTACTGTGCTAATGCCTTTTAGATTTGTTGTGTTTTGCTGTTGTTGCCTTTTGACATCTGCTGCGTTTTTGTGTTTGTGTGCGTGAGTGTTGCCCTACCATTGTCAAAATATGTATAAAAACGCAGCAACAGCGAATTGTGAAAATTAACGCGATTAACAAATAATTAAAACGTTTAAAAATGTTGGCCTTCAATTGGTCTCCATTGCAGAATAATTCAACAGGAGTGGCTGCCACTGCACGTGCAAAGTGCATAGGATAAATAGTAAAACGGAATCAACAACAACAATAGGCAACTGCAATAAGAACAACAAAAACATCAACAACTGCAATCAGATTCGGGATCATACGCTGCAAAGTGCCTCAGCGTCCGCGTCAAAATGTCGCGCTGGGGCAAAAACATTGTTGTGCCACTGGACTCGCTCTGCAAGGAGAAGGAGAACACCAATCGTCCGACAGTGGCACGGTCCGTGGGCACAGTTGGGAAATGGGGGAAAATGGGTTTCACATCGACACGCACCTATACTTTATCGGCTCTGCATCCGATGGCTGCTGCTGCAGCGGCTGCCGCTGCTGCCGCCAGTCCCGCCCAGAGTCCAGCCTCAACGCATGAGCATGATCCTCACGATCTGTCCGTGTCGGTGCCGGAGCCGCCCAAACCGAAAAAGTTCTTCAAATCGCGCAATGCCGCTCCGCCAGAGGTTATAGCACAAATCATTCAGCAGTTGCCACACTGTGTCGCCACATCGCCGACACGAGACCACGGGGCGGGAATGACGGGATCGGCTACCACGCCCACACAGGAGCATGGTAACCATAAGTCGACAGGAGGAGGAAAAGGCAATTCCGCAGAGCGGAAACGCAAGTCACCCAAAAAGAAGAAGGCCAACTTGGCTGCTGTCGCAACGCCCGGTGCGTTGAAGGAGTTGGCTGATGGGTTGGATACAAGCGCTTCACCAGCTGTCGAACCGAAGGGCAAGAAGAAAAAGCTAAAAGAGGAGAAGAAATTGAAGCCGGAAGCGCCACCTTCACGCATTTTGGGACGGGCACGCAAGGCGGTCAACTATTGTGAGGTCGATGATGATGAGCGCTATCCAACACCCGTCAAAGATCTGATCATTCCAAAAGCTGCGGCAGTAGAGCTGGATATAAATAACTCCACTGCAGAAGCAGAAGCGGTAACCACATCCGAGGCAGCGACGGTGGCGACGTTGCCGCCACCCATAAGTGTACCCGCAGCAGCAACCACAACAACAGTGCCAGTGCCATCTGCCTCGTCTAGTGCGTCCCGTACGCCGGAGCATCCGCCGATAGTGTTGCGCATTTCCAAGGTGAGTCCGTTTTACATAAGGGTAACTGATATAAGCCTGTTATACCCTTGACTAAAAGGTGTATGATAATGTGTCGAGACCGACCATGTCAGATCAATTTATCATATATGTACATACATACATAACTGTCAAAGAAACTATATCATTTAGAAAGAGTTGTGTGAAAAACTGATGCCATGTCTTGATGGTTTTGCATCAATTGTTGATCCCGTGGCATAGTTGAATAAATTCAAGAGTAAATAATACTTTCTTACATATACATATGTTCGTATGTATGCACTTAGTTCATGGGCCATGGCCATAAAATACAATGTTCTTGTTTAAGCCACTGTATTTGTTTATGTGTGTATATTGAACATTTAAGTATCAAATACAAACAAAAACATTCATTATGCATATCGATGTTATCGTTGATATCGAAATATAAAAAAACTAACGGAAGAAGCTGTAGATCAAACCCCAGCTGCGCACTCTCTCTCTCTCTCTCTTTTTCTTTCTATCGTGCCGCTGCGTAAGTGCATGTGAATGCATGTGTTTGCGCGTGTGTGCGAAAGAGAAATCGACAACAACAAAACGAACGGTTAAATTACGCGCGCTTTTACAGCGAATGGAGTTTTCGTCGTCGTTGTTGTTGTTCTACTTTTTTCTTTATTTCATTTGACGAGCGGCCGTAGCTGTCGTGGATTTTTTAGTACGCTTTTTCAATTTTCCCACGTCGTACAACAAGAATATTAAAAAATAAAAAAAAAAACTGAAACTAAGTTAAAGAAGCAGTGTAAAAAGTGTTTGTTTATTTATTTTTCAGGGCACTTCGCGTCTCGTCAGTACAGATAGTGAGGAGCCACCAAATGCTTCGCCTGCTGAGCAGCAGCACCAACAACAACAGCAGCAGCCTCATGATTTTGAGGCGCCGGATGCCAGTGAAGCATACGATGTTGAAGTTAAAGTTCCTGCACCAAGTACGCCAAAAATAATTGTGAAACCGCCACGTCCGCCGCCAGCAATAGAAGCAAGCACTACAAACAATAACAACAACAACGACGACGACGAAGAGGAGGAAGAAGAAGAAGAGGAAGACGAGGAGGAGGAACCACCTGAGATCAACTATTGTACTGTGAAAATATCACCGGATAAGCCGCCCAAAGAGCGACTGAAGTTGATCATTAAAACCGACGTTATACGCAACGCCATCGCCAAGGCGGCTGCTGAAAAGAAATCCAAAAGCAAGAAACACAAACATCCCAAGCACGCAGCACTTGAGCAGCTGTTGCCGGCCCCCGCAGCAACAACCACAGCACCTGGAGTAGCAACGACGACGGCGGCGCACGTTTCCGCCTCCGAATTCAAAACGCCATCACCACATTTGGCGCTTAGCACCGACCAAGTGCAGCATCCGCACGCGTTGCCGCATCATCACCGCGGCCACGTCATCTCTCCGACCACCCGCTCCGAGCACGATTTCGACTCGCAATCATCAGTGTTGGGCAGCATCTCGTCAAAGGGGAACAGTACGCCACAGCTTTTGGCGCAAGCCGTCCAGGAGGACAGTTGTGTGATACGCAGTCGCGGCTCCAGTGTGATAACTAGTGATCTGGAGACGAGTCAACACTCATCACTGGTGGCGCCACCCTCGGACATCGAATCGCGACTCGAGTCCATGATGATGACCATAGACGGAGCGACGAATGTCGGAAATGAGGCGCACACGCGAGTGCCAATTGCCGAGGAGCCCCTTCAGGAGGATATTCTAGCTGTATTGCGCGGCGAAGTGGCGACGGCTACGCTTAATGGCGATGCGAGCGACAAGGAACCAGAGGCGGAAGGTCAACAGCCGAAGCGCTCGACTCGCGGACGACCACGCAGAGCAGTGCCCACCGCCGCAGCTGTCCAAAGCACAGATGTGGCTGTAGCAATAGCTGCACCAGCTGCGGAACCATCACCACCGCCAGCAACGACGACACGAACGCGCGGCCGTGGTAAGCCAGCAACTGCTATTCCCGAGCCAGTGACGCCAAGTGGCAAACGAGCGACGCGTGGTCGCGCCAAGAAAGTGGAATCGGAGAGCAATATGGATGTGGGTGAGACCACTCCAGATAAAAATACGGCATTGGCTATGCTGGACAATGAGGCGGAACAACAGACGACAACTACTGTGGTAGCCGCTCCACGCCGAGGACGCCCTCCACGTGCCAACAACAACGCGGCAAGCAGTACCAACACCAACAATAATAATAACAATATAAGCAAAATTGCCGCCAATTTAGCTGGAAAAGCGGAAGCTGGCAAATCAAATGATCTTGGAACGCAACGAAGTTATGGCCGGAAACGCAAGAATCCACAAGTGACGCACTTGGAGCCGGAAAGCGATCCGACGCCCGAAGACGACATGGCTATGGATATGGATGCAGATTCACAGCCCACGCCAGCCAAAATGCCGCACAACTTGCCGCTGGACGCGCTTACCGATGACCTTTCGAATAATTCGAACAATTCCTCGCTCCAGCATGATGGGTCAACATCATCGCCTCCACCTCGGGACTACAAGTTTAAAGATAAATTCAAGCGAACACTCACGCTGGACACGCAAGTAGCCAATCAAGCAAATGCAGCGGCGGCGGCCGCAGCTGCTGCCGCTGCTGGAACCGCTGAAGAAGCTGTCGATAGTGGAGAGGTGCCAGCAGCTGAGCAACGAGGCGCCGTCAAACTGGTCATATCGAAGAAGAAGGGCAGCATTTTTAAGAGTCGTACGCTAGTGCGTTCCGATCAGGCACAACCGGCCACAGTGGCCAAAAGGCATCTGTATAAACACAGCTGGGATGCAGCATTGGAGGCCAATGGTGCTGGAACTGGAAGCGATGCCAGCAATGCCTCACCCTCGACCACGAGTGGCGGTGGCGTCAAGGCAGATGCTCTGGTTGCTGGCAAATCTGCTGCGGATGCCATCTATGCGGACTTTGGTGATAGCTCCTCGAATAATAATACGTCCAGTGGCAGCGGCGGTGGTTCCTTGCGCGGCGAAAGTCCCTCAATGGGCAAATTGACGCGTGGTGCCAAACCCAATGCGCAATCGGCACCCACAAACGCCAGTGGTGGCAATCACTTCGATCTGGACGATGCCCTGAGTGGTGGAGGAGGCGGAGGAGGTGTTGCTTCTGGTGGTGTCGGCGTCGGTGGTAGCGGATCTGGCGGAAGTCTCAGCAATGCCGAATCCTCAGTCACCAGTGTGCGAGTCGATCGCAAGACTAAGGAATACTATACGGTTGTGCGTAATGTGAAGACGGCGCATCAAATACAAGAGATTGGCGAGTATCAGGAAATGGACGACGATGTTGAATACATACTGGATGCGCTGCAGCCGCACAATCCATTACCCACACGCTGTCTCTCAGCACTGCAGTTGGCCACAAAATGCATGACGCCTTCGTTCCGCATGCATGTGCGTGCCCATGGCGTGGTAACCAAATTTTTCAAGGTAAGTGCAGACTTTCTAACATCCTTTGAAATATTCTCCTTGTTGCTATTCAGCTTATTGGCAATATTTCAAAACTGAGTCTATAATAACAACTTGATATGGCATATTTCTCAACCACAGAGAGCGCACACATTTTGAATGAAAAAGAAACTGGTTTAAGAGATATAGTCATTTAAAGAGTGTTATTGATCAGAAGCTTCCATTAGCTTTAACTCACTAAATTCTTTTCCATTTAAGGCACTTTCTGATGCTAATAAGGATCTGAGCCTGGGCCTCTGCACCTCCGCCATAATGTACATACTCTCACAGGAGGGTCTCAACATGGATCTCGATCGTGACTCACTCGAACTGATGATCAATCTGCTTGAGGCTGAAGGCATTTCTGCACCCTCCGATCACGCCAACTATGAACGCAACAAACAGAAAGTGCGCGAACTCTGCGAGGAGATCAAGGCGCAAGGCAAGGGCACCCATTTAAATGTCGAATCCATCACCGTCGGCACCCTGGCCATGGAAACGTTGCTGTCGCTGACATCCAAACGTGCTGGTGAATGGTTTAAGGAGGATCTGCGCAAACTAGGCGGTCTCGAGCACATTATTAAGACCATCTCGGACTTCTGTCAACCGATAATTGAGCGCAGCAATGTCGCCGCTGGCATTACGTGGCACCAATCCCTGCTGGATAATATGCAGACAGTCGCACGGTGTCTGCGCGTGCTGGAGAACGTCACACAGCACAACGAGACAAATCAACGCTACATGCTGACCTTTGCCAATGGGCGAGCCGTGGACACGCTGTGCATGCTGTATCGCTTATGTGATCGCCAATTGGTGCTACATCCCACAACGGAGGCGGGAGGCAACGGCAAAGGCCAAGGCGTGGGTGTGGCTATGCGCGAGCTCCTTATTCCAGTCATGAAGGTATTAATCAACCTCACGCACACATTTAACGAGGCCCAACCATCGCTGGGTGCTGAACTCCTAGGACGACGCAGCGATGTCATTGAGACGAGCTTCCATTTGCTGCTCTTGGCCTCCAACCTAATACCGGACCGTTGCGTTTTTGAGCTTAGCATATTGGTGAGTACCCATCTATCTCTCCACCTTTGTTCTAAGCTAAGTGATAAAACATTTGATTCGGTTTCCCCATTAGGTTCTCACGCTGCTCATCAATCTGAGCATGCACACACTTCCAAATCGTGCGGCCCTTATGCAAGCATATGCACCACCCGAATATATCGCTGATCATCCGCCACAGAATGACCAGAGCGTGACTGCAATTCAAGCGCTTCTTGAGTACTTTTACAAATGCGAGGAGCTGGCCAAGTGAGTTACCCATTGCTATCCATTATGAAATATATCTGAACTCTTCTTTTCTCCTTTTTATTTTCTCAGGCTGGTCGAGAAGAATACGGATGCATTTTTGGAGAACAACGAGAAGAGCAAGAAGAAGCAGGAGGAGGTGGAAGAGACTGTCAATAACCGTAAGTATTGTGGAGGTCGATAAAGATGATATTCGTTTAAATTGTAAATATCTGGAACTTTGAACTAAAATTAATTTTCCTTCAAACAGACAAAAGAAAAGTCTACCTTTTTTGTTAAACAAATAGTTTATTCCAACAATATTCCACTCATCTGAGGTCGTGAATCGCTATTTGCTCTAAGCAGACCTAAAAGAAACTTAAAGATTATATGATATTAAATACTTATACTTCACGCACCCTCTTATATCACCGTGATGTTCCTTTCACTCTGTTTCAAATATTCTTTCATCTATTCTTTTCATCTATCGCAGTATAGTTTATAGATTGCTTATACTAAATAACAAATTTATAAGAATTTTGAAATGTCCCCAGTCCCCATTTTATGTTTGTGTTACTCTGCATTATTTTGGATTTTTCCCACAAAAGAAACGGGCATGGAAATGGTGAAAAGTGCCAAGTTTCTACGGTGATAAAAACAAAAAAGCATTGTTTCCGAATTACAGAGTCTACAATGAGAATGAAATGGTGGACCAAATTAAGGCGTTGTACGAACTTAAAAGAGTTCCAGCTAGGGATTTTATTTGAAAATAATTGTATTATATGTATTACAAGTTTTGTTTTTAAGCCATACAGTAACTGATTCCATAATAATACGACTATTCTCTTCTGCAGTTGTCCAACGCGCCGGCCACCACATGGAGCACACCCTTAAGGGCAGCTATGCGGCCATACTTATTGGCAACCTGATAACTGACAATGAGGAGTATGAGAACGTTTTGAGACGTCAGTTGCGTGGCAACAGCTTTAAGGAGATCATTGGCGTGCTGGAGAAGTATCATACGTTCATGAGCCTAACATCTAGTGTACGTATTAAATTGTAATTGAAATTTGAGAGATTTGTTTGCTAAGTAAACTGTGTTTGCTTTCCACAGTTGGAAGCCGCATTTGTGGCGCACATGAAGTCAACGAAGAAAATCATTGACAATTTTAAGAAACGTGACTATATCTATGAGCACTCAGACGAGCATACAATGCCGTTAAATCTAGAGACCACGCACCATCACCAAATCAGCAGCACCACCAGCAGCACAAGTGGCAACGTGCCCCCAACGGAGGCAGGCAGCTCATCGCCACCAAATAGTGCGACGGCGACGACGACGGCGAGAAGCAGTAATATGCCTCGTGTTTATAAGACCTACAGTAATCACAGATAATTGCAATACCATCCACATCAAAGTCCACATCCATATTCACACACTCGCACCCATGCCCACGCGCATACCCACACCCACTGCGACACCCACACGCAAATGGACACACGCGCAAACGCATACAAAAAAAGAGAAAGAGAAAGCCTGCCACCAAAACAAATAGTTTGTTTGTAATTAATTGTTTATGTAGTTTTGTTATGTGTATGTATTTACGTATATAATAATGGATCAGCAATGTCGTCTAAGCTTTATCATAATAGGTGTAGTATGTATCCAATTTTTTGTTGTGCACTATTTATTTTGTCCTCTCGACTGGCTACCCTTACGATTTTAAAAGCAACAATTTTATGTATGTGCTTTTATTCTATTATTATTTAATTTCAATTTTTTTTTATATATACATATATGTAAAATTTAGCATTAGTACATCACTCTAGTAGCATCATTTTATTAAAGAATAATCATCATGTGTATGTGTTAACAAAAAGTGATAGCAATTTCTTAAATAAGATGGTCAGGAGGTCGGTCAGTGTCCTACAAACAGAATTATCGGGACAGATAAGACAAATTACGGAACACACACACTATGCAAACGACAAACGAAAACTGAATTCTGAAAACAGCAGCAACAACAAAAACAACAACCACAACCAAGATACAAAGTAATACTGATATGTGTACGTTATATAGTCATAAGCAAGTTAGCAACTATTAATTATACGCATTACCATAATTATATATACATATGTAATTTGATGTACATATACATATAATGTTTACGCAAAGAAATTTATCGCTCTCGTCTAATTTTGTCCCATTTTTTTTATATATATATATAAATATATAAAAAACCATTAACTATACCTATGTATAATGATAGCGCTCTATAGTAGTAAGTAAGAAATCCACATGCATACCATATACATATATGTATATGCGAGCTGGATAACGATGGTGATGATGACCTGTAGGTAAACGGCGCGCCGTATGTACATAGAGAGTGTACATACGTCGTAGGTTTTATATGTAAATGTAAAATATGTATTAATAATACAAGATACGTTTATAAGCACCGTTACGCATAAATTTATAGTTTTACAATTACGGCATATTAAAATATAACTTGTAACAAATAGCTGCTTATACACATATGTATATACATATGTACATATGTGTATTTAAAAACAAATAAAAATATATATATACATACGATGTCATTTTAGGATTAAAAGAGATCAAGATCAAGTTCGGGAACAAAATTTATATTTATTTTGTGTTTTATAATTATAACAGCAGAAACAACAACAACAAAGCAAATCAAGCGCAAGCAGTAGTTTGAAAGTAAATATGTAAAGATGCATATATTGTTCTTGAAAAAATAAAATAAAAAACAAAACTAAATAATAGTAAAAGGAAAGTGTTTTAAGTGGTTGTTTCTATTTAAAAGCATTAGATCAATCTGCAGGAAACTCTAATTGTAGCAGATTCGGTATATCCAGAACTCACCTAAAGCTACGGAATTGTTGCAATACGCAACGTTTGTTTGTTTATTTGTTTGTCAGCCCTGGCACTCGTGCTGAATGGCACTCCATTTTCCACAGGACTTGAGCGTGCGTGCGTTTCGTCGCGAATGGCGTTTTTGCGCACGCCAGTAGGAAGAAGCAGAGCACTGGCAGTAGTATCGCAGCACAAGCAAAACCAAAACGGAAAAGCCAAAGTTATGTGAAAAATTGTTTATATGTGTAATATCGCCCCACACAGCCCGTTAGTCAATTAAATAGTTCGGCTCCAAGTTGATTTTTTTCTGTAATTCGCACACACAAATATTGTATGTATATATATTTTGTTAATTTTTTTTGGCAATTATCAAATTGAGTGCGACTGCGGCGATGTCGTCCGTCCGTCGTCGGTTGAAATGAAAGCGTAAGCGTGCAAAATTGCTGTTCCAAGGAACGTTCGGTGAATGAAAAAGGAAATAAAATAGAAACGATCGGAGGAAATATATCAAAAGCAAATAAGTGTCGAGTAAATATCATCGGCAGTAAACATATTAATTTAATTAACAATATGTCAAAAGTGTTGAGTCCGCACAAACAGACGGCAGACGCGCGTGTTGTGAGTGCAACGGGCAGCGGCGGCAGTGGTGGCGGTGGCGGCGGCGGCAGCAGCAGCATAGGCGATACTTCGTCCGGCAGTAAGCGGACGTTCATCGATTTGGACGCCCTGGACTATACCAGCGGTAGCTCGATCATTGAGTTCCTGGCCAAGGAGCAGGACTGTGCTATCGAGGCCGATCCGGAGAGCATATTTCAGGAAGTGAGTCGCCTCACCGACAGCACAGATATGCGCTCCGTGGACGAACTCCTGCTGGAGGCAGAGCGTCTAATACAGCAGCAGCTCCGTCTGGGTAGCCTGACAGCCGACACCAACGGCAATGGCAACATTGACAGCGGCAACAGCAGTGGCGCCGGCGGCGATGGCGAGAATGTGGCCAATGCTGTGGACAAGGATAAGCTGTGTATGCAGTCCTCGCCACAGCATCACGGCAGCATTAAGCTGAACTCGCGCTACACGCGCCGCATCGAGCACGTCATCCAGGCACCCCAATTCTGCCACCCCAGTGCCAAGACCAACAACAAAGCTCAGACGCCCAGCGAGCTGCTCAACTCCAGTCTGTCAAGCAATGCCAGCAGCAGCAACTGTGGCTTTGCGGCCTTTGTAGAAAATCTGCCCTCGGAGTCTGTCATTTCAGAGGAATCCACGCCCAAGGACATGCACAATTTCACGGCCAATTTGGATAGCCAGCACACAGCCACCCATTTGTTGGACAATACGGATAACGATGAGGATACGGTGAGTTTAAAAAAAGACAGCTTTATTTTCAGCTGCCAAGTTACACACAGAACACGTTTATGCGACAAAATCATGAATTTACAAAAACTGCTTTAAAAGTAACAAACATTTTAGGGTGCTTAACAAAAATATGAGCAATTAATCGATTAAAAAAAGTTAAAGTTAAAAGAACGTATTTCTGCAACCATATCATGAATTCACAAAAAACTCTGATAATGAAATTTGAGAATATTTTAAGCGGTTTACAACCCCTAATGAAATCATTTGTTGGCAAAATCATAAAATCGGGATTTAGAAATAAGTATGTAGTTCATAAAAAAGTTTTTTTGTGAAAATCACGAAACAACAATGTTATAAAGAGTTAAATATTATTAACTAATCGTTTTATTTATTTTTAATAATCGGGATATACACAAAATCGCAAAACTGTTTTATTTTAACAAAAAAAATATAAAAAATGTTATGTCGATAAATAGTTTTCGAAATAGGCAATTTTATATTCAAGACTAATAGGAACAAATCACAAAGTTACGAGCTGCTTTCCGTTTATAAATTTGTTGCTTTTATCAAATTAATGCAAAACCTTGTTTTCCTATTGAGAAAGTATTGAATTGGTTGTTAATTTAGTCTTAAAATATATAATTTTATGTTGAGCAGCCAAGTTAGAGGAAATAGGTGTTTATGAAAGGAAATGACGAATTCACAAGTGAGTAAATTTAATCAATAAGTCGATAATTAATTAATTGTCCCAATGGCTGACAAGAAAACAAAAAGACTTGCTCGATAAATATGTTTAAAACTTGCCAATTTTATTGTCATCTGAAAATCACGAAAACATGGAAACTTGAATCATTTTATAAATAGCCAATTTTATTTCCAGCCAATTAACATATATAAAATGCATTTTTAGCGCCAAACTCCGCAATGTCTGAATTCGCAATCACTTTATCGTACCTGAAATCACACACATTGCAGATTTCGCAAAAACACTTTCAACAAATACAGTTGAGATATTCACAAAACGGATCAGATCAAATGATTTTGAATACCCGTCGTACACAAAGTTTAGGGTTATTTAAAGGTATAGAGAGAGTTAAAGATACATAAATAGAAAGGAAGGTAGCCCATTTTTCACATAATTCCGACATTCACGCATACAAATACACACGCACATGGGCACTCGCACACACACACAAACACATAGATATATATAGTATTTATACTAAATATAGATTTATCCAATGGCCTGCGCCACTGTCTCGGCTAAAGTCCAGCCTTCCAGTGCCGTATCCTTGATAAACCGGGGAGGCAGCACAAAGCCAAAGTTGCCGCGATCGCGCAACTCAATCGTGTAGACATATTTGACATTCAAGGCGGCCCGACTCCAGTCATCGGAGCCGCCGCCAGCGATTCCCAGAGCCTCGTGGGTGACAGATGCCCGGTAATTGGCGCCCGTCTTTTGAGCAATGCGCTGGACAGCGGTGTTGGCCACGCGCTGGAGAACGCTGGCGTCCTTCACCTTGACAGCCTTGTAGGCCCAGGGATAGACCACCATCTGGCCATAGCTGTGATAGGTTAAATAGGATTCCAGATTGTATTTGCGCTTGGACAGAAATTCGACGACAGCCTGCGTTTCCAGTTCGGAGGCGGGCTGTGAGCCACGGTAGGTGTCACTGCAGGGATTCGTTGAGGAGCCATATCCATTCCAGCCGATGTCAAAGTTACGATTCAGATCGACGCCAAAGCATTTGGCGCGACGCGAAGGCGAACGATTCTTCCGCCACAGCCGATTCACCGTGCGACTGTATTCGTAGCCATCGGGATTCATCACCGGCATTATGTACCAGGTCAGACCACGTATGTGGGCGGGTTGGTTCTCCCAATTCGACATTAACTGGTAAAGGATGAAGGTCACTGTGGCCGGGCTGATCCATTCGCGCGCATGAATGCCGCCATCAATCCAGATTTTCTTGTATTCGCGCGGGTTCTCAGAAATTCTAAAAGTTGGGTGAAAAGCAAAGCATACTTTTAGGAACGACACAAAATGTATTATCTGAAGAATTATTGAGAGCGAGAAGCCCTTAAAACTCTTTATACAGTCGCGGTTTAAAAAAATCGAACATGTCAATCATTTACAAAACCGTTCCCTTCAACATTTGACCAACGTTCAGGAATCACGTTTTTCCTTAACTGTTAGTTTTATTAAATCAGTAGTTTTTCCATATTATAACTTATAAGAAGAGTGTTGCCTTCTTTCCTATTGGACTCTGAAAAAGCATTCGATGAATTCACATATCTAGTGATTAGTTTCGACAAATTTAATGGCAACTTATGTAATGGATGATTTCATTGAAAGCTTAGTATAGAAATTATCTGAGCATAATACTGGTTTTGATTGATTGTTTTGATTGTTTCAATTCCTAAATTCGATCAAATGATTTATCATTTTGTGAAATCTTTAACAACGATTGAATTAGGTGGCTAAAAAAGTTACTATTGAAACCAAAGCTTCATGGCAATACTTTTTGAATGAAATAGTTAAATCGCTTTTTGAGAAGAGAGATGTTATGAGATTTCAAATCCACATTACTTTACTGTACTATTTGCGCATTCTTTTTAAAATTTTATTTTCAATACTCCTAATAAGTTGGTCTTTCTGGTATTGTTTCTATAAATCCTCCCTCTCAGCCATAAAGCGGCTCTCAACTAAGCTTACGATCTGACATCATCTTTTTATAAACAAATAATATATTCGGTAAGCTGTTAATCATTTAGAAGAGTAACATTTGATGACGAAATGTCAATGATTTTAATTGATTGTTACATTGATAAATCTATCAAAACTTGCGAGTTTTTTGTAACTTACCGCAACACCTTAAGATCCCGTCCCTCAGCCGTTTTGCCAATGGTATAGAGGCGGCAGACATTCGGAAATTTGGTGCGTATCTCACGCATGAAGGCATAGATGGTCTCCAGATCGTGGTAGTCCTTCCAATGCATACCACTGCCATTGCGTGTAGCTTTCTCTGTAGAGGATAAAGAGAAATTGTTGATGAATTTCTTCTTGTGTAAGTCTGGTTAGAGACTTATACAAATCTACGATTTAATCTGCACTTAAACCTACTTGTTCGTGCCCCAAGGCGGCCCAATGTGCTCGCCACACTCTCCAGCTGCTCCTGATCGATCAGAGACTGAATATTGTCGGAGAGAATTTGAGACTCGATATTATGGGCTGCCAAAAAGCTGCGAGCAGCCTTCAGCTGCTCCTTAGCAATGGATATGTCCAGGAACTTGGAGTTCTCCTTCCAAATATTGCCTCCAAATTTCTGCTCCAACATCTGGCGAAATGGCAATCGTTTCTGCATACCCTCCGAGATATTGTAGATGCGCCACAATTGGGCCTCATCGTACCGTACTGGGATCTCATTAACGTCCATCATACCCGCAGCATCAGCGGCAGAGTCAGGGTCTAATGTGCCGTTTAGGGTCATTCGCTCGTACAGAGCCTTGTTGCCGGTCGCCACAAGGTGTCCTTGGCTGGCCGTAACGGGTTCCATGGCGGCAATATCGAATGCATTGGACCCAGCCAGGGCTCCAAGCACCAGCACCAGCGGCAGCATCAGCAGGCAAAGGGTAGGTGGGGCGGGCGGACTCATGGTGCTGCTTCCGTGCTATTTCGTTATCGTTTTTGTTGTTGTTGCCTCAGTTGGGTAATTTCCAAATCAAGTTCTCGCCACACTGCAACGAAACAAAATAGTCGACTACCTTATCAACATGCGAGTGTCAATGTCAATGGAACTGGCTGGGCAATTACAATTATGAGACAGGCTCGCCTTTTGTTTCGTGTGCTTTGTTATGTTTTTTCCCCCGGCATCCGATTTCAGTCAGTTAAGTAATTAGTGGAAAATCTCTACGTGCCGTACAACAAATATAATATATAATTCATAATAATACACACAAAGTGTAGTATTTATTTATATGAATTGAATTCGAATCATCTAAAGGGTTGATATATAGGTGTATATATCAGATTTTACCTTGTGGCTATCTAGTACCTTAATACTTCAGTCATATATTAGAGTTTACCTTACTTAGGTCTTCTCCTTTGATGTAATTGGCTGTGTATTTTACGCTTTTTTACATTAATACGTTAATCGAGGCTTACGATAAACAGGAAATATTGTTTCATCTCGCCTTCTTCCGATTTCTTCAAAGAATTCTATCGGATTAATTTTATATATTTTCTACATAGCTTCTACTTTCTATATATGGCTTCTACTTTAAGATAAACAAGAAATTGTATTTAAGTTCGCCTTTTTCCGATTTCTTCAACAAAGAAGAAATTCTGTTCTGCCATTTAGGCTCCCCTGTATATATACATATATGCTATATTTATGAAGTCATTTAAACTATGTTCCTTTGCTTCTTCCTCAGAAGTTAATGAAAGGAGCAAAATGATTTTTATGTTTGAATCACACACATAGGTATGTAAACAATAAGATTTATTAATTAGATTCTCCACACAGTTTTTTGCTTACAAATTTTTCTTCAACAACGACAATATAATTGCTCATTTATTACGCTGTTATAAGCAACTTGATGTTTCATTAATTGAGATGAAACTTGGGATGGCATTCAAATATATTTATAGACCCATCTGTGACTTTTAGCCTCGCGTAGGGGAAGATTTATAGATAACGGTTGAATACAATTTCTATTCTTTACATCATGTACTTCCTACATTTGGCTTCGTCATCTTACTATCAACTATTATTTTTTTTATTTTGATCTTCTTGAAAAGATAGATCATTTGAATTAGAAACACGCTAAAGTTCGCGAGCTAGAAACGTTGTGATCGCGTCAGATCAGCAAATACGAGATTAGCAGCAGTTGCTTTGAAATGGAAACTGAATTAATGAACGATTCTATTATTTAAAGTGATTTTAGCGTTATACATAATATTGCTAGTCCTAAAATTTGGAATGCAACGGGCAGGAATACTTCATATTAAACAAATAATTTATTTATCTGTTAAGTATTAAAGCGGTCCTGTTAATAGTAGCTAAATATATTGAACAATTTTTCTTGTATACTATAATAAATCTATTTTTAAACATTAATTATTATTTAACGTGCAAGCGATCCTTTGCTCTCTCCTGCGCGCTCAGAAAAAGTAAACTGAAGAAAACATTTGCCTGCAGAAGCAAACGAACTATTGGAGAGCGGCCGGAGAGTGCGGAGAGCGTAAGAGACGCCAACAGAGAGTCAGTTGTGATGACAGCACAGGTGCTGGCTTTAATCCAAAACTTCCACATTTGGACACATTTACATGCGCGCGCGCAAACTTTGAACATAAAGTGTCCGTCGATCACAACATTATGTATTTGCTTGCTCAAGTTCAATGTTAATTTGTTTGCCTATTTATTGCAGTCGTTTTTATTGCGATTGATCGTGAGTTGCTGCTGATGTTGTTGTTGCTGTTTCTGTTGCTGTTTCGAATCGATCGCCGTTTAGGAATTTTTATATATATTTACAGCCTCAGTAGTGACTTATACAGCATATACGGGTTTCTTTCAATATTCGATAGCTTGAAACGCATTCGTAATTAGCACATTATTTTTCGTAATGCATACATTTGTATGTGTGCGTGTGTGTGTGTGTGTGTATGTGGATTGGAAGGCTTTGTTTGTTTGGCTAAAAATTGAAATCGTTTAGAGCTTTGCTGTTAGCCATACACATCCATTTAACGGACGACAATTTCTTGTCACGTCTCGATACGAAAAAAGAAACGGTTGTTAAACTAATTTCCAAATTGTATTTATTTTTTTTGTATTTTCTTTATTTTTGTCGGTTACGCCCAGTTTATCACACTACTGTGCTAATTTCACCGTATGTGGTTTTTTATTACCATGCAGAAAGCAGAAAAGCAGCGCTCCATGCCATGGTGGAGCTCCGAGACGCTCCATCTCAAGAACAGGTTCTTGGGAAATAAACAAATGTCGGCTTGTAATGTCCGACCTTCTGGGCTGCTGACGACAAACTCACAGACCAAGCGACCAACTGACTGACTGCGTCTTCTCTTACAGTAATGGTTTCGGTTGTTACTGGTTTTGTTTGGCGCTGTTCTCAGATCACGTGCATTTACAACTTCGGAGAATTGCCGAAATTGGAGCGCGCCAGGCACTAAAACAACAACAACAACAACGTCCAAACTTGTTGTGCAGTGCAAGACCGTTTTTTTTTTTGTATACCCTCCATCGAAAAGGTGAAAGGGCATTTCAGTTTACTACGAAAGTGGCGTGGTAGACCGCGCAAAGCATACTTATTCTTGGTCTGTATGTGACAAGCTAAGTCGGTTAAGCCATGTCTGTCTGTATGAACGCATAGTACCCGACAAGTGAACCATATAGAATAACTAAACTTGATATTCATATGCTCCTAAGCCTGACAAGTTTGTGTTTTTATCCACTCCCTCATAGCTCAAATAATTCTTGGACAGGGACGCCTTTTAAAGAACTTATAACCATAAATGTAAACTTTGACCAGCTGTTGTTGTTGTTGCACACAAAATCAAAGACATTTTTATATTTTTGTTTTTACATTTTTCAAAGTCGTGTCCATTTGATTCTGATATTCCAATTATGTTTATACATACATATATGTATGTAGATATGTACATATACATACATACAGCATATCACTGTCCATTATGTAATTTAAAAAAAGAAAAAAAAATGTGAATCGCTTACATTCTGCGCATGCGCTTCGCACTTTACTGCGTGCTGCCGTTTGTGTGTTCTATAAAAGCTGCAGTTGCCGGCTCCGCTCAACTTTAAACACGCACTCACACTCACGTTGACACTGACGCGCACACTTACGCGCACTGCCCGCTATCACTTTGGTGGTCCAGCGCAGAAGCCAAACTAAACGCTCAGTTTCTGCAGGCGTTAATTTTTATATATAGTGCCAACTTAAATGCCGAAGTGAGGGCAAAAATCGAACCAAATATATGTGTGTACAAAAAATAAAATTAAAAAAAGAAACCAAAACAAAAGTGATCAAAAATAAAAGGAAAAATTGTTAAAAAAAAAATTGCGCTGCTGGCCGACGACCGAACTTCGAGCGAACGCCGCGGACTGAATGAAATGACAACAACAGCAGCAAAAGCGGCAGCAGCAGCAGCAACACAACGCTAACGGTGGCGTCGACTGCAGAGCCGATAAGAGGCAGCAGCAGCAGAGGTAACAGCAGTGGCAGCGAGAGAGTCACGCACACGGCAATGTACTTACAAAAACAAAAACACACACAGAAACAAAGATTAAAGATTGAGTGCATTGAGCGAGTCATGCATTGCAGCAGCAGCGTCTCTGACGCCCACGCCCCAGCACTTTTGACTTTGACTTTGATGCCTGATCGTATGTGCGAGAGGGTGTGTGTGTGTGACTCAAATCAAATCAAACACAATTACAATTACAGCAATTACAGGAGTCGACAATGAATAAAAACTCAAATGTGAGCAGAGATTTCAGATTTTACTCACAGGCTCCGCTTAGTTCGGGCTGCGCTGTTGCTGCCGCTGCTGCTGCTGTATCTGCCACTGCTGTTATTATTTGACTTACATGCACACATACATACACACATACATGCAAACAAACATGTGCACGTAAATACCTGTGCTGTGGGTTTTGTGTTCGTTGATTGTGTGCGCTGTAAATTTAATTTCATTTAACTAAAAAGTCATTGTTGTTGCTGTTATTTGTTGTTTGCATGCCATTTATGCAGAGCGCTGTTGTTGAATTACACACACACACACACACACATACACATGCATAGAGTCGCTTACAAGCCGCGTCATTTTGACCCAATTGGCGTGTTTTTACTTTCTTTCGCTTTTGATTCATCTGCTGTTGTCTGCTGTACTTACATATTATTGTAATCATATCAAAAAAATATATGTATGTATATATTTTCACTTTTTTTGTACCCTTTTGTATGGCAGTTGTTGATGTCTGCAGACACGCACACACAAACAAACATAACTATGTATAAATATTTATAAATAAATATTTAATACATACATACATACATCTTCACCCAATCATCGCTAATGCTGAGTTATGGCTTTTCATTTTACAGCAATCAGATTTTTTCGCTGTTGTTCAGCTTTTAAATTACTTTCTTTGCCGCGTATTTAAACTTTGGGACCACAACACACATGCACACACATACATACACATACGCACATACAAGTAGACATACAAGGCATTGGCGTTTACTTTAAATATTGGGCCTTTCGCCCGCCCCGCATAATTTCCTAGATATGCTCACCATAATTTCTATGTGCATAAATACATCTTTCAATCTGCCTTGTCTTTGACTGGTTTTTTGAAAATCAGAAAGAAAAAAAATAAGATCTCGCTCGCTCAATGCGCGCTTGAAAGTGAAAGTTCCTGTGGCGTTGGCGGCAGCGGCCGCGGCCGCGGCCAATGTCTCTCTTTCTCTCTCCCTCTGAAACGCGCCGTCGCGACGGCTTTCTTTTTGCGGATGTTGCCGCTAGTTATATAGTATAAAATGTATATATGCATTCTAATATATGCATTAATTTCGGAATTTATTGTTCATGCATATGCATACGTGTATGTATGTAGTATTACCTCCTATCTATATAATATTCATAGCAGCCTTTACATAACGATTGTTTGTTTACTAAATTTTCTTCTTTTTCTTTTTGCCAATTTCACCGACACGCCAGAGTCGTTGTCTTCATAATGCTTTAAATTATGAGCACTTTACCTTAACTTACGTGATTCGTCGGCCTTTATGCGCACCGTCTAGAAGTAGGCTACGATATTTTCCCAACGATTTGTAAGTTGCAAAAAACATCATAAAAACGGTATAAAACGCAGACAGTTTGTAGCGAGCGGTAGATCGTAAAAACAAAAAGTATTTTAAAAAAATTTCAATCCGCACTTAGTCGCCCTTCTTTTCCCTTCTTTTGAGAATGTTTGCAGATCGGTCTGTTTTATCGATACTACATACTTGTATATGTACAGTCCTAATGGCACGTCTTAGCCAGCGAAATACAAATTTTTAGAACTTTCGAACAATATTATTGCTATACTCTCTAGGTTAGGTATATGTGCGACCCAATTGGTATATACACTCCCATCCAACTGAACAGGTTCAATACACTTTAAAAAGTAGAACGGCAAAGTTTCTTAAAGCACCCTACCGATTTTTAGTGAAATACACACTTTTCATATAAAACCGTAAATCGCGTACAAAAGTTTGCGGCTTTCAAAATTTATTTTTGTTTCAAAAATATAAGAAAAATGCCCCTTTATTTCATTTCAACTCAACCCATTCAACTTTAAATTGAAATGCCAAAAAGTATAGTTCAAAAGTATAATTTATTATTCCGAATACAATATTTCTTATTTTCCAAACGATTTGGCGTCTATAGGTTTGCATTTAAGTACCAGAAATATCTTTTTTTAGTTTTTGGTTTCACTGCGTGATAGTTTAGAAGAATACGAATTTGACAAAAAGGGAGAAAGAATTATAAATTAACATAAGAACGTTATGTTGGTGTGTTGCTAAACAGTTTTCTCTATTTATTTGAAAATTTTTATCATCATAACTGAGTTATCATATTTAAATAATATTCTTGTTGGCATATTAATACCTTACTTTTCGTCCGAGTTTGGCTTTTCAGTGGAAACTCACATTTCGCATTCTTAGCTATAGCCGTTCTTTCGCTCTTCATGACCGGTTTTATAACTGAACAGTAGTCCAATATGTTATACATTGTAGCGTTATTAAAAAGGTTTATGATGCTTTTAGTGGCATGCAGCATAAAAGGCGGACCTCTTCTAACAGAAGTTTTAAATTGAATATTCATATATTTGGGCAACTGACTGGCACGCTTCGTGTGATGGCTCTGTCGATACATGTATTTGAAATGTTGCGGAACTATTTAGCTGATGTTTAATAAATTAAATAAATAAAACATTTTAGGTCTAAAAAAAAAAAAGAAAAGCATAATTTAACTTGAAGAATGCTTCAATCAAATTGCTGCGCGATGGTCTGCAGAAAATCGAAGGCCTCCTCACCCGATTCGACAATATAATGGGGTGGCATTAGGTAGCCGTAGCGACCCTGATCCTTCAGAAACACATTGTAGACAAAACGGGGTGCAATGGCATCTTGCACCCAATCGGCCGAGTTACCCGCCCGCGCCAACTTCAGCCGATAACTGCTTCCCACACTGTACTCGGCCTGGTTCAGACGTCGCAGGTTGAGGGCCGCCCTATAGGCGACTTTGTGGAGCTCGCGCTGATTGTCCGTCACAAATTCGTCATCACCCCAGGGATAGGTGATTGCCTGTCCATATCCGCCCAGAGAGACATAGGCGCCCAAAACTTTGCGGATGCTGAGCAGGAAATTGCGCATAGCACGCGTCTCCGGCTCGGAGAATGTTTTGATGCCACTATAGAGGTTCTTGCACGGATTCGTAGACGAGCCTGCCTCGCCCCAACTATACTCGAAGTTGCGATCCAAATTGACGCCATAACAGCCGGTGTCGCTGTCGTAGCGCCGATTTTTGGACCAGAGTCGGTCGGTGATGCGCGTGTACTGATAGCCGTCGGGATTGGACACAGACAGGAAGTACCAATCAATGTGCTGCATGTGTGTTTCCTTGTTATCCCACAACGACATTAGCTTCGAGATGGTATAGGTGAGGGCAGCGGGACTAAGCCAGTCGCGTGCCTGCAAACCCGCATCAACAAATACGGCAAAGTTTTCCGGATCGCCATTGGAGATTCTATCGAAGTACAAATTGTTAAAGAATCGTACAAATGGAAAGATCCACAGACTTACCGCAACACTTCGAGCGGTCGCTTGTTGTTTGTCAGACCGATCTGTATGATCTCTGTAAGATCGGGATAGGTCTCCAGCATATGCTGCAGAAACTGTTGGATGTCGCCGTAATCGTGATAGCGTTGCCAATCCAAGAGCGCGCCCTTGCGCTCCAGCCACGGCATTGCCGGATTGCTGTTATTTACCTCCATATAGGTCTCATCGATGGCCAGTTCGATGTCCTCGATCATGACGTTGTAGCTGAAGCCGACCTTCTCCATAAATTGGCGTGCCGCTGCCTTGTTCTTCTGATTAATCAATATGTCAATGCCATCCTGATTAATGTTCCACACCTCGCTACCTGCAATGCATCACAGAAAAAGGATGGCTGTACATATTTTCAGAAAACTCTGAAAAAGGCAGAAAAAGGCACTGCCCCTCGGGCGTACCAAAGTGACGCCAAAAGGCCTTCACCGCGGGCTGATTCAGTTTCGTTTCGTGCACCTTCCACAGCTGGTGGCCGTAATAGCGACGCACCGAGGCATCGCTGCGATAGCGCCGATTGATCTGATAGGTGGAACCGGGAGATAGAAAGTCGAAACGTCGCAAATCTGTGGGCGAAAGCCACTGCAGACTCTCCAGCGTTGTCTCATACAGATCGCTGGTATTCACCGACCAAAGGGCAGGTAACGAAGGCAAACCCGTAATGCTGCGCCACAACAGCAGCTGAGACTGCGTTTTGCTGGCACTGAGCAGCAGAAATAGAAACGTTCTCGGATCCAACAGCATTATTGAAAGAATCGCGGCCTGACAACGCAAGCAAATCTAATCGACTGTCTGTCTGAATCGCGGCAGAAGGTCAAGTTCTTAATTTCTCCAAACTCACAGATTCTTCGATGTGGCTGTGGTTGTGGTAGTGGTTCTGGGTACCGTTTGCTTTGGTTCGACTCTTGGGCGTTGATTCATGCAAAATTTATGCGCTAATGTCACTGAGACATCGACATACAGCTCTTTTGATGATTCTGGCCGACTTTTGTCTTAGCCAATAGTATAATGGGCGCGTTTCTGGCCGCCCTTTGAACTGAGTAATCATTTGGGTCAAAAGGTTGCTGACCTTCAACCAGCAGCGCCAACGCTTACCCACAGATGATTTATCTAACTAATTAGCATTACTACTTGTATTTCCCCCCTCTACTCACCGTATTGCTCAGCGAATTTGCTGAAATCAGTGCCCAACGGCAACTCTGTTCGTTTGCGGGTCGCATTGAAGTTCAACTTCCACAGCTGTGCGCCATAATAGTGCACATAATTCTCATTTAACTGACTGCGATAGTCGGATGTGCGTCCGTATGGCGCCTGTGGGCGTATGTAGCGCAATAATTGACGCACCCCAGCTCCAAAGAAGGGAATACGCGTTAAGGTACCACTCGGACCCACACCAGCACCCCCCACGCTGGCCGCACCCGCTGTCCCCGTCGCGCCCAACTGGCTATTTAGGGTGCCCGAAGCGCCCACAACTGACATCACAAGTATCGCCAAAAGCCCGTCCATTCTTGAATTTGTTCTCCCCGTCCGACTGTGCGATCGCTTAGTTTCGTGGCTCGACATCAAATGCTGTCAAAGATCCGCTGATGATTCCAGCAACCATCGTTAGCTTTGGCTCCCCTGTCTAAGCCAATGCTAATATCGTTTTGTCTCGTCTCGTTTCGTTTCGTTGGCAATTCTTTTGTTTTTTGCACCTTTTCCATTTGCATAATAACAGTGGACAGTGGCGACGATTTGTTTAACCATGTGGTCTGTTGTTTGCTGAGAGACGTCTTTGCTCTTTGATTTTAACAATAACTGACAGCTGAGATGAAGTTGAAATTCAGGACAAACGAGGTAATCCTTTAAGTCTTGGGCTCAGTAGCTCCAAATATAAATCTCTAGACGCTGCAAATTACAAAAGAAACTGAGATGAAGTTGTTTCTTAGAATAAGTTGTACTTCAGTATAAACGGCGTAATCTTTAAAGAAATTAGTAAATTAGGAAAATATATCAGTTCTGGGTAAGGAACCTCTTTAGAGGTTACACATTATAGTTACGTCGTGGTTTTGTGGAACAATACCAGTCCATTTGTGAATGGAAAAAAATCAGTTACAGTGCTTGGGGGATAAGTAGGGACCTGACGAGGGCGCAGATTAAAGCTTTCCTTCCTGGTAATAAATTGGAATTATTATTATTATTATTACTATTAATTGAATTTCAAAATGAACTTCAAATCAGGACACAAGGACTTGTCTTTTAAGTCAATTTAAGAAACTGTTTTGAGGACGGTTCCCTGGAACTACTCTAGAAATATCTTGGAAACAATTTCAGTAATACTTTTATCATTCGTTTTCTTTATATACAGCATAATTTTTATTTATATGCGTTTTAAACAAACATTTCTCAGTCTATTCAAACGGATTCATTTGTCTAATTACAATTACAATTAAATAAATAAATAAATAAATAAATATAATTTCATATCAATAATAAAAAAAAAAATTGACGGCTGTAAAAAAAAAAGTTAGGCTCTAGAAATGAACTAAAATCCGCGACGTCTATTATCCTTGCCATAGGTTATGGCGCGTGCGACTGTCTCGGCGAACGTATAGCCGTCCTTGCCGTTGAATTGAATAAACTTGGCCGGCAGAACGAAGCCATAGCGGCCCGTATCGCCCATTTCGATGGTGTAGGAGTATTTAATGCCCGCAATACCTCTGGCCCAATCATCTGAGCCGCCGGCGGCAGGATAAAGAGTGGTGGCCGATGAGCCAACGGTATACTTAACGCCCGTCGACTTTGTGATGCTCTGTGGGTGAAAACAAGAGTACGAGGTAATGGATAGTTTATCGCCCAGATTCTTATGTGTCTTACCGTGCCCGCCTGACGCGCCACACGATCCAAATCGGCACGATCCGTTGTTAGTTGATAGTCATAGCCCCAGGGGTAGAGTATATATTGGCCATAGCTATGGAAGGATAGGTAGGCCTGGAATGTGTTGCGTGGAAATCCACTGATGAACTTCGAGATGTAGAACGTTTCGGGCTCAGAGAAGGCCTTGCTGCCGCGATATGTCTGAGAGCATGGGCTAGCTGAGGTACCTTTGCCGCCCCATTTATAACCAAAGTTGCGATTCAGATCGACACCCGGACACTGACGACCATGGGCGCGCATATTTTTGCGCCACAAACGATCTGTGGTGTGCGAGTACTCGTAGCCATCAGGATTGGCCACAGGGTGTATGAACCAGTTGATATTACGCATATGTTCTGGCAAATCTTCCCAACCCTCCACCAACTGATTGGCTATGAAGGTCACTGTGGCTGGACTGATCCATTCGCGTGCATGCATGCCACCATCGATCCAGATGCCAGGATTACGTGGATTACCGTTAGAGATTCTGTAAATAAGTGCGCGCATTAGAGACAGAAAACAAACATACAAGTACCCCTGGGGTACTACTTACTTTAGTATTTTCAATGGTCGCTTCTCCACGGAGTAACCGATGGTCTCTGCCGAGCAAATGTCTGGATATGTCTTGGCCATATAGTCGACGAAACCGTGAATATCCTCGAGGCGGTGATAGGCCTGCCAAGTTAAACGATGGCCTGATAGAAGAAGAGAAAAAGTCACAAACTGTATTAACTGAACAACAATTGCAAGTCCAACAGGTTCATTCAACTTAAACCCTTAAGCCAACTGTATACCAAGTCTTTCACGCGCTTGGCAACCCCTTGAACGGAAGTGCCAAATGTTTTGACGGCGCCTTAACTTGCTCAGACTTCTTAGGAAACAAATCGTGCACTTTAACTGCGGTGCTTACGAACCGTGTCCTTCAAATTGCGTTGCTCATACACTAGTATTGACCCGACCGGCCGACTGGTTGACTGATTGTCTGACTGTCTGTCTGTCTGTGTGTCTGTCTGTTTGTTAGCCTGTTATTGATTAAACAAGTTTCTTACTTGCTGGATTCTTTTGTTTGGTCGCAAGCCATGAACCTTTGCCGTTGGTCCGCCACTGCGTTTGGAGTGCGTGCCATCCTAGAAGGTGTCGCCCCTTGCAGCAACACTTGCCTTCCAACCAATCCCCCCCCCCAATCCTCAACTGATAGGCATCACTATAGCAAAAGTGTCAATTAAAGTCACTTGCTGGGGTTACAACTTGGTTATGGTGTGCATTAAAAGCTCGTTTATGACGCCACCCCCGAAATGGATGGCGTTTTTGTTGTAGTTGTTGTAGTTGTTGTTGTTGCTGCTCACATTCTTACTTACCCTTACGGTTTTGCAGTTGAGCGATTTCCTCAGCCGGGGGGTTCTCCACTTCAATGACTTGCTGCAAATTGTCAATGAGGACAATGCGCGATAAATTGGCGGCACGTATATGCCGCTCGGCGGCAGCCAACACCTGCGGCTTCAATAGATAGTCCACCTCCTGCTTGACCTCTTTCCACAATTGGCCATCTATCGAGATGATATATATATATATATATATATTGTATGAGCTTTGCATTCGCAATTATCGAACTAGACCCTTTCTTACCGAATTTGGTTTGCAGCTCATCGGCCAGCTTCTTATCCTTGTCGGTCTGCACCACAATGCGCCACACCTGTGCCCCGTCGTAGCGTCGCAGTTGTGCGTTAAATTCCGGCTCGTCATCGAACTTATCGTCTTCAGTTTTATCGTTCGTCGGCTGCTGTTCCGGCTGCGGCATAAACGAGGCATTCACATAGTTGAAAACGCTATCCGGGGAGACGAGAATGGAGGCGGCTGCTGTTTCGGATGCTGGTTCTGCTTGTGGAATAGACTGTTGCGCGGTATTTTCGAGCTTCTCTGCATCCGCTTCTTGTGCGGGCTCATCCGATTCGACTATATTGATTGGCGCCTCAGTTTGTATATGTGGCTCTTCCAGTTTTTGTTCTGTTTCCATCTCCAACAGTGACTCATCGGCGGCTATTTTATTCCCCTCCTCCACTTCTGCTTCAAGGGAGGGTTCAGTGGCTGGCTCTGCTGGCAGAATTTCGGAGATTGGAGCGAAATCCTCCGTTTTGTTGGGCTCATCAATTGTAGCTGGTTCGGTGTCTTCTTCCCTTTCAACTTCCACGATTTGCTCCACTGGTTCACTTACTTCATTGGCGGCCACTTCTGTTTCTACTGCTCCTGTTTCTCCTACAGCCTCTGCAGGCGCAATCGCTTCTTCTTCATCGAGCAGCTGTTGTGCCTGCTGCTCCTCATCCTCAGCTTTGGCTTTGTCCTCCTCAGCCTCGGCCAATTCTTCGGGCAGCAGATTATCCATAGCCGCTGTCAGACCCTCTTCGAAATTAGCAACAACTTCATTGACTAGGGACGCCTCTGTGGCTTCCGTGGCTTCCGCTTCAGTATCTGCTGGCTTATTGTCCAGCAATTCACTTTCGATCACATTCTCGTTATCGTTTTGGGATGCTTCGCTATCGATTTCCTTTTCTACCGCTTCCTCCACTGCTTCAGCGACAATGGACGCTATGCTTTCTGTGTTGCTGGACTCGGCCACAATTGGCTCTGAATCTTGTTCTGTGTTGGTCTCAGCTTCATCTTCCTCGTCGGCAGCAATTTGTGGCGCTTCAGTTACTGTGAGTGCCGCACCGGCTGCATCCTCCAATTGAGCCTCTTGACTGCCTAACTGCTGTTGCGGCAACTCCAATCTCTCAATAACAGTTTCACCAATAACTGGTTCCTCAGCCACAGGCGCTACTGATGCCTCTTGAATGGCTTCTGGTACCAAATCCACTTCAGGTTCCGGGTTTGGTTCTGCTTCTGGCTCCGACTCCGACTCGGGCTCGGGCTGCGACTCGGGTTCTGACTCGGGCTGCGACTCGAGCTCAGGCTCGGGCTGCGACTCCGGCTCTGGCTCAGACCCGGTCTCTTCTGCCGCAGCTGCGATGTTATCCATTGATTGCTGAGATTCCATTTTATTTACCTGGCTAGTCTCAAGTGTCAAATCGGCTGGTTCGTCTGCTTCCACAGCCTTCGCTGGTTCCAACTCAATCTCGTTAATGGTCTCGCTTATGACAGGAAGCGGCTTATCTTCCGCATCCGCCTCCACCTCCGCCACTGCCTCCTGAAGTGCTTCCGTCTCCTGCGGACTCTCTGGCTCCTCCTTCACCACAACCTCGTTGTTGCTTTCGGGCAGTGGCAAGATTATATCGCTGGGTAGTTCTACCATCTGCACTCCATTTGAGTCATCGCTCTCCAGCATGAGCATATCGACCTCTCCATTTGTGGCATCGGCTGCCGACGCCTCCTGCTCAATCGAGTTGCGATTCACGTGCTCGGAATTATTCTCCAGCTGGCTGGCTACCGTTTCGGGCACCAGCATGAAGGTTTCCGTCTGGCCGCTAGCAGCGGGCACAGCTGCTAATTTCATGTCATCCACGAGCACGGCGCTTGCCTCCTCTGCTGCTGGCGTCGTGGCTGCCAACTCGTTGCGTTCTACGGCCAAACGATCCAATGACATGGCCGATGCATGTCCCACGATTAGCGATGTTACG